AGCACAGATAGCCCGTTGTGTAGCTTTGTGCTTAACTACAAACAAACAAGCCAACTAATTATAGGGTGGTCGCTGGTTGCAAATCTAATACACACAAATAATTTAATTTTGTTTAAATTTACCCTGAAAAATAAAATCCAATTACAATCAAGATTTCCGTTATCTTTGTTCACGTGACCTGTAAAGTTAAGTCTGAGAATGTTCGATTATGCCGACGCAAGGGTGTATACATTCACATACGACAAACTTTTAATGGCTAGTTTTTAACCTAGCAGGTGGTTATATGTAGAAAACGCGAGCATTTTTATTTCGAGCCATTTTACCAATAATTTCACGAGCACACAAACGTCGATTGGTTAAAAGAAGCTCCCCTGTAAAGCTGTTTTTTCAATGTAGATCCATAACTACGTCAAGAAAACAACCTTCTAAATGATATACGGTGACATGTTAAGCCTCTCTGGCAGATTAAACTACTAACGACTTAAATATAATATACTGAATGGTCCTGTTAATGAAAACAAACGTTGTCTCCTTACGAAACTTCTCAGATTTGGCTGAAAAACAGTTCTAAGCTTATGCTGGAATAGCAGAGACATACCTTATTTTATAGAGTTTAACCATGACAAAAGAAGTCTACAGTTTACGATCACGCTGCAACTAAATGAAGACAGCGAGGTCTTAAGGAGAGGCGAGATTAACAGCCAGAGCTATACTAATCATTAGAGTATCGCCACTGACACTTGGCAAAATGCCAATACGCACAATAGACTTTCAGTCTGCTACCACTCAGTTTTTGTGTTTTGTTTTTTGTATCATTACACGGAGAAGCTTTGTATATATATCTCCCAATCTCAAACAGCGCTCCGAGGTCCTTGGGGGGACAGATGGGCCAGCTAATGACTTCCTATGATGATACCCCCCCTTTTCCCGCCTCTGACCATGAGAATTATAACTGGCTCAGAGCATTCTATACCTGAAACTGAAACTCACACTTCTACTACAGGCATAACACGGTATAAACTGAAGAAATAAATACAAACTGATGTAATTTGTTCTGCGCGTTTCATTTTATCTGGTATAAAAATATATCTATTACAGCGTGCATCTTTATCAATAATCCATGACCCATGTCCTCTCTATTGTATTTCCGTATACCCGTGTTATTACTAGAGATAACTAGGGAACATACTTTGATCAGAAGTATAACAATGAAACATTCCTCATTCGGTAAGCAAAGCAAGTTTTAAAATAAATATTCACCCCTAAATATTTGAAAGTGTGCTGTAAAAAAGACGATACTTTGCTTTATCTACAATAGTTATACTTAGTGCTCAGTTATAGTCATGTTTCCTAGTCATGCTGCAACTTTACCCCGAAAATGTTTTACAGTAACAGTAAATAATTTTTGAAATGTCAATTTTTTTGGACTGATTTGCTATAATAATGTCATAAAATGACGAGACAGGAAATATACAAGTCGCGCATCAGACAATCTTTCACAATTCAACAGACTTCTTACAACACCTTATAGTTATGTTAACACATAAAAACACTGACAAAGTATAAAGTAGTTACAAAACTTAACACATATAAATACACTGTCAAAGTATCATATCGTTACAACACTTAACACATATAAATATACTGTCAAAGTGGCAAGTCTTTACACCACTGTTAACACTTACAAACACTGACAGAGTATCAAGTAGTTACAACACAGTTAACACATATAAATACACTGTCAAAAGTAGTAAGTCTTTACAACACTGTTAACACATGCAAACACTGACAAAGTATCAATTAGTTACAACACTTAACACATAAATACACTGTCAAAAGTAGCAAGTCGTTACAATACTTTAACACACACAACTGTCAAAGTAGCAAGTCTTTACAATACTGTTAACACATACAAATATACTGTCAAAGTAGCAAGTAGTTACAACACAATTAACACATATAAATATACTGTCAAAGTAGCAAGTAGTTACAACACAGTCAACACATAAACATATTGTCAAAGTAGTAGTAGTTATAACACAGTTAACACATACAAGTATACTGTCAAAGTAGTAGTAGTTACAACACTGTTAACACATAAATAACTGTCAAAGTAGCAAGTAGTTACAACACAATTATCACATATAAATATATTGTCAAAGTAGTAGAAGTTACAACACAGTTAACGCATATAAATAACTGTCAAAGTAGTAGTAGTTACAACACCGTTAACAAACACATAAGTAACTGTCCAAGTGGCAAGTAGTTACAACACAATTATCACATATTAATATACTGTCAAAGTAGTAGTAGTTACAACACTGTTAACACATATAAATAACTGTCAAAGTATCAAGTAGCTACAAGACAGTTAACACATATAAATAACTGTCAAAGTGATAAATAGTTACAATACAGTTAACACATATAAATAACTGTCAAAGTGACAAATAGTTGCAAAACAGTTAACACATGTAAATAATTGTCAAAGTAGTAGTTACAACAGAGTTAACACATAAATAACTGTCAAAGTGACAAATAGTTACAACACAGTTAACACATGTAAATAACTGTCAAAGTAGCAAGTAGTTACAACACAGTTAACACATAAATATATTGTCAAAGTAGTAGTAGTTACAACACTGTTAACACATATAAATATACTGTCAAAGTAGCAAGTAGTTATAACACAGTTAACAGATACAAATATACTGTCAAAGTAGTAGGAGTTACAACACAGTTAACACATACAAATATACTGTCAAAGTAGTAGGAGTTACAACACAGTTAACACATACAAATATACTGTCAAAGTAGTAGGAGTTACAACACAGTTAACACATAAATATACTGTCAAAGTAGCAA